TAATTAGGGTTATCCCTAAGCAAAACTACTAAAAGGTTTGCTTCCCATGCCTGTCTCTTACGTCCTCTCCACCAATCTACCAGCCCTGGGCACTACTGCCTTGTGAGCTAAACCCGCCCACGCCTGCCGCCTCCGTCTTATAACTGGAGGGAAGGAACACTATCTTCAACTAGGCAAGTGGGACCATGAGTAAATACCTAATAGCTCAAAGCATTAAACAAGAAAGTTTTCCATGGTCCCGGTTCAACTGACTGTCAGCATTTTTCCTGATGTATACTAATGCCTTTTTCTTTAACAGACTAAATGCTTCATCTGTGGCATTGGCAATGACTACTTTGACACAACCCCTCATGGTTTTGAAACACATACACTGCAAGAACACAACTTAGCCAATTATCTGTAAGTATTTTGGATTAAAGGTGTCATCTTTAGGGAAAAAACAAAAACTCTGCCACAAAGTTCAGTCTGTTGTTTCTTCCTTTCTGTCGGGAAGATGTAGATATGCTCAGCAGAGCAGCTGCAGGTGCCTGTAGGAGCCACTGTTGTTCTCTCTGTGCACTGCATTGGGAACAACTGTCAATTGATCCACGCCATTCCTCTCAATAGCGTGCATCTCCAGCAATTTCTCTTTAAATCCTCAAGAATGTCCACTTTTACCACCAACTACTAACAGACTCAGCACCTCTACCTTTCCCCTATCTGTCCTCTGTGAACACCTTACTAAAAGGCCTTTCAGGAAAGTGAGATATTCTGGGGAAGGTTTTGATGTTAGCACTGTCTGGCCACTAACAAGCAAACACTACTTCACTTTCCTAGGGCAAAGCATTCATTCAAGTTATGCCACTTATGGGGTATGTCAATTATATAACCTGATTATTCAAATTCCAGAAAGTATGATCAATGGGATGAATAATATCCTGCTCTCTGACTGTTCTCTTCCAGCATTTTGCTGAAGTCTCTCTCTTTAGGACAGAATAGGCTGAACCCTGGGGAGGATGGTGTTTGTTTGTTTTTAATAAATAACATTCTTTCCCTAGTATCATGAGCATTAATCATGGTCATTTCTCATTAAGAGGGCTCTCATTCAAGGTACAGAAGTTGAGCCCACAAGTTCTATGGCAGGTAGCACCGGGGAATGACAGAGGAGCTGTTAGTCATCTGGGTTAGGATTCCCTTGCATGATACCCTGCAGCACTCCATGTGGTCATCTGCCAGTTAAATGTGTCAGAACAACAACAAGGTTTCCTGACTCATATCTTCAGTATAGTGGAAATAAATTCTTGGTAGAGGTAAAGAAGAAACTGTTCCTGTGTACCAGGATAAAGATACAGCACTACCCTGTGAGAACTCAAGGGTTGGGAGTCCAGCTCTACCAGCATGCATGATCCTCTCAACTTTCTTTCTTTCTTTCTTTTTTTAAACCAGTATAACATTTTCCTTTCCCAAAGGGCATGAGACTGGTTCTTCTAGAAACCATCTCTGAAGTCATAGAATCTGAACTGAGAGTGCAGCCCCCAGGGACACCCTTGTGTCACACACTCAAATCTTTGATACAGATAATTTAGTGCAAATGAAACCACACTGCCCTTTCCTGGTTTTTCACAATGAAAAACAAATAGAAATTTGTGGAAGAAGTGTGACCTAAAAGTAGATACTGTCCACATTTTTCCTGACTCATCCTTGACATGTGAATTCAAACGTGGCTTACTGATAATCTTATGGTAAAGAGTTGAGGGTTGTTTTTGTTGTTGTTGTTGTTGTTGTTGTTGTTGTTTTATGGTAAGATAGCTTGCAAGTGGACTTGGGAGTTACAAAGGCTTTCCCCTCATTGGCTCGGAGATAAGCATCTATCATCATTCTTAGAAATGCTTCCCTGGTTTTCAAACCCTGTTTCCAATTTACCTTAGTATCCAATGTTAGTTTGGATGAGAAGTACTTCCGCTGAAGAGATTGCTCAGCTGTTAAGAGCACCTGTTGCTCACAACTGCCTGGAACTTTAGTTCCAGATCTGATGCTCTCTTCTGGACTCTCCTGGCACTATTCCCACCGCCCACCCCGACCCTGTCCCATATCCCTGGCTGTCCTGGAACTTGTTCTGTAGACCAGGCCAGCCTCAAACCCAGAAGTTCGCCTGCCTCTGCTCCTGAGTGCTGGGATTAAACATGAGCCCCTCCATGCCACACTTATCTTTTCATTTAAAAAGCTTCTCTACCTTTCTCCCATTTGTTCTTTTTTCAGATTCTTTCTGATGTATTTGATTAACAAGGATGAGACAGAACACACAGGTCAGGTGAGAAACTGCTTTCACTAAGAACTAAGAAGGTCTGTGTTGAGTCTCCCTTTTACTCAGTCTCGACACTGAGTAGTACACTACAGGATATCTGAAGCTATCCATCTCTTAGTAAGTAACAAAAAAAGTGATGGAAAAGTACATCTAAGACGTGAGAGTTCTATGGTGATGTCAGTCTCTTCCCCAAGTCCCCCTGGTAATCCTGCTCAACAAACACTGACATTTCAAGCCACTGTGCTTACTGCTTCTCTGCACAATAGCTGGAGGTGGGAGGACAGTAGAGAAGACGACGACGACAAACGGAGTGGGTGGCTGGAACAAGAGCATGAGATTCAGAGTAAGACAGTGGGAGAGACAGCATAAGAAAGAGCGGCCTTGCATGTGGGCGACAACAGGAATGTGGAGGTGTGGAGAGAAGATGAGTGAGGAGCTGTGTCACAGAATTCTGTGACTAACTATGAAAAGAAAGGTGGAGAACACAGGAAGAAAAGCCTAGTTATTCGAAATCTAAACATCAATGGACAGAAAAACTTCATACCTTAAATACTTGATCTAGACCAGGCCTCAGGCAGAATCAAATGTCCCCCCAACCCGAATTCTTTAGTCCCCCAGTTACAACTGGCATGGGGTCAACTATGTTAGAAGAGACACAGGATAGGATTATCCCTTCCCTTCAGTCATGATGGGAAGACATGTGACTTCTAGCTCACAAAACCGAGCAGGCTGGGGACACAGTGAGAACATGCCCATGTGGCCTCGAATCAATTCTCATCAGTCCTCCTAAAGGAAATCACACAGAGCAGAAGCAAACTGGGCTTTAGCTTATCGTGGTATCAATACAAAGTACCATTTGTTTACACTGTTTCAGGAATCCTATGTGTGGAAGATGTACCAGGAAAGGTGTTGGGACTTCTTCCCAGCTGGAGACTGCTTTCGAAAGCAATATGAAGATCAGCTTGGTTAAATCTGAATTCATGACACACTACGATTCTGAACAATCACCTCCTAATGCCACAGACTCCTCCTTTCACACTTTAACGACAACAGCAAATGTATTTGGTAATTGATTTGGCGTTTGTGCACAAAGGATGGCAAAGTGTCAAGGACTCAACCTGACTGCCAACAGAGCTCTCAGTTCTACAAACAAGTCCTTCATTGAGATGGTTCAGAGAAATGTGAACTCTTGAACACCTGAACATCATGCAAGAGGACCCCTGCCAAGGACTGACGGGCAGAACTACACAAAATCATGTTCAACTCATGTTAACTGCGATCTAATTTTTCCATGGTACTTGCTAGTGACTGTATCCAGAATCAGCTTGAAAAGCTTTAAGCAGCTAAAGAAATAGAAAACAAACACTTTGTCGAAACTGAAATATCGATTAAGTGCCTTACAAATCTCTTTAGATATAGCTATGCAAGTTTTTTATGTTTGTGTTCCAGAAGGACAGCTCCATTAAACAGCTGTGCTGCTCTTGTCTTACTTTATGAAACCGCACTTGAAGGTTATTCACATCATTTCTTCAGTAACAGCTTGTCAACTGCTGTTATTTGAAGAAAGGCACTGTACTGAAATTTCAGAAAAATCTCAATCTTATACCAAACTTGAGTGATGCTTTATGGTCCATGTAAGTAGTGGAGCTGCCATGTTTTAGGTCAATCTCCTCCAATAAAGTGAAGTGCCCACTGCAATAAAGTAACACATGCCAGTTCTTGGTTTGACCTCTTGTCATGTGCCACTCTCAAGTTATTCTACAGTGTGACCTGACTGCTAAAGTCAGGGACATGAGACAAGTAGCCCATGGCCTTCATGAAGAAAGGGAAAGTCCAGAAACCAGAGGGTGTTTATTTTGACCAACTGCATGCCTTGTGATTGAGTATATTTCCTTAAACACCACCTGTTACACTGTAAACATTGACAGGAAAGAGGTTCAAAATGTAGCTGTGACATCCCCTGTACATAATGAAATCTATTAGACGACTAAGCCAGATAACAACAGAATGAAGCCCCTAAACAAGCCTCATACATGTATTCAGATGCCATCAAACACAGGTAGGTGTTGGCTGCTGTAAGCATAACAGTACATGTTAGCACGAGGTATCTGGCAAAGTAGCCCATCCTCACTTAGAAGGCAACCAACATTTGCCACAGGCACTCTTCCCCCTTGATCCCCTTTCAGGAAATCATGCTGTCCAGCCAGTCTTCCAGCTCTTCCTCAGTGACATTTTTCGATGTGCTCGGCTGCTCAGGTTCCACATTTTTCTCTCTGGTCACAGGTGACTTTTCAGGAACTATGGGAACAGAAGCAACATTAGCCACTTAACATCAGTCCTCATGTTGAGGTTAGTTAAGGCTTCCCTGGTGTGTGTTTGAGGATATAGTTCAGCACAAATTATTTTCCAATAACAAGCAAGAAATTCTCGTTATTGTCAGTCCCTAAGATACAATCAATAGTATCTAAACAAAATAAGCAAAGATACAGGTTTGCTCTTCTATTTACTCTAAAGATAAATTTCACTGCTCACTAGTTTTGTGGGGTTTGTTTTAACGCAAAGGCCAACAGTATAGCTCAGTGTCCTTTTCTGTGTGAGGCAATCCTAAAACATCACAATGACTCTTTAGTACTGTACATGATATGACAGTTAACTTAGGCCCCATCATATCAGATGGGCTACCAGCTCACAAAATATTCACAAATTATAAGACATTCTTTTGCTTACAAACCCAAAAACCAAGTACAAACCCAAATACCAAGAAGTATGAAGAGTTAGTTTCCTAGCCTGTTCAGTCGATTAAAAGGTCTTCTACAGAAAGGCTTTTACAGAAGTTCAATTTGCAGCTTTAACTTTAATACTGCAACCAGGCTGGTAGCCACTTTGAAAGCCTGGGATATTGAGTAAGAGAAAACTGTCAGAAAGGTCAGCTCAGAGGAAGCTGTGATTTGCCATGGGAAGAGACACCTGGGACATGGCTGGATCGATGTCAGACACAGAGGGGTATGTTTTGAGAAGATGGGTAGGAAATGGAATGAAGACCATACCTGTTTTCTCCTGGACTACCTGCCCATCTCTTTCTGGTTCCTGGTCCTGAGATGTCTGCTCTGAAGAGACACTGTCTTCCTCTTTCACAGGGGCATCTAAATGCAGCAACATATCTAGTTCTTCTTCCAGATGGTCTGCCACTGATTGTGGTGGGGAAGATGCTTTCTGTAAACCCTCTAAAGGGCTTTGTCTTAAACTGTCTCTGCCCAGAGACCTGGGACAACCACCAGCAGCAGATCTGAGCTCGGAGATGGGCCCCCTTAACTGCATGCCCAGCTCCTTGCCATCATCGTTTCTCCTTGGTTTCACCTGTGGAAGTTCTAAAGGAACTGTGGTCTGAAAAAAGAAGCATGATGTCAGAGTTTAATAGAGTCCTTGTGTTGGCTTAAGCACAGGAAGTTAAGCCATAAAACCCTGTAGGTAGGAATCTCAGTTCTGACAGCCCATGAAGCATCTTCTGTTGGAGTCTGACTCCAGCACTCTTCTGATCCACCCAGGGCAGATAAGGAGACTTTGTGGAAACATCATTGGGCTGTGCCTCCCAAGCCCACATTTTCCTATCCTTAGCCTGAAGGTTAACTGTACCACATAAGTCTATTTGAATTGGTACTTAAATCTGTAACAAAAAATAACCACCTATCTGTAAAAGTTAGTAAGAAGAAATTAGCCAAGTAGACCTGTTCACTGTGCTCAGATACAGGGACACTCAGGGGCAAAAATCATTTGCCAAGATCTTGTTTACATTTATAGAAAATTCAAAACCAGGTAAAACTACAGTAATAGAAGCCAGGGAGTAGAAGAAGTAATAGAAGGCAGTCTTGGGAGAGGAGGTGAATTCAATGTATGTGTGATGGCCTCTAAGGAACTGGAAATCTTCTGACTTGATATAGATGCCAGTTCCATAGTTATACATACTTATCTGTAAATTCTTCCCTAACTTTGCTATGCTTCAAAGATTTTACATATGACTATGACAAGTTCTTGGTTATAAGGTTGAGAAACTCTCTTTTGTAGGCAGGCCACAGGGCTGACAGGGACCCATAATGCATAGGTCCAGAATAAAGTTCAGTATGTGCTGCAGCAACTGGCCCCTGCTCTTACTTGAAGACTCACATTGCTAGTAACTCCTCAAACCTCTCTCAGAAGTCTACTTCAGCATGGCCCCTATAAGCATGAACTAGACCAATGTCTAGCACTGTAGTTGAACAGAGCAAAGTCAAGGTGTGATCCTCTATGCTGATCCTACAGTCACTTCACAGATCTCTGTGAAAACCTGCAAGTTTTGTCTGTTTTCCTTATTTTTAACTTCCCAGGTGATACTCATGAGCATAGTTGAGAGCAGACCTAGATTATGGATGCCTCTGTGTGTGTGTGTGTGTGTGTGTGTGTGTGTGTGTGTGTCCAAGCACACTCCTTCCTCAACTGTTCTTTCCAAACTGCCAACATCAGACCTCCCACATCCTATTAATATAACCTAGAAACACTTCTTACAGAAGTCTCGTCTTTGTTATGTGCACCATCATTACTGGTCTGTACTAGTGTCTCTCACCTGGACCCAGATGACAACTTCCTTAAGATGGTTTCCCTTCTCTGTCTTTGCACAGGAGCACACACAGACACAGCCCTGAATACACACACCAACCCCACAGCCTGCTTTCTAGTCCACCAGCACAGTATTTACTGTAATTATTTTCACTAATGCTGATCTGCCTGGGTCATCATCTCCTCTCATTGCAGCTCAAGTGTTCTTACACATCAGACTCAGTTTACCCATTGTTTCCTTAGGAAATCCAGTCCTAGCCACAGCATGAACACCAGGTTCCTCACTATGAGCTCTCATGAGACACGGTACTCCACGTTATTTATCACTTCCAGGCAGCTGAATAACTACTTCACTAAGTGGATTAATAGTAATTTTTTCCAGTAGATTGAGCTCAGGGAAGGAGAAATCACATTCACCTGCTTACCACTTGTCCTTAGTGCCAACTCAGAGCCTAACACCTCAATATTCTGGGTCAATAGCCAAACTTTATAGTCTTTTTGCATTCAATTCTATTACATTTGATTATTAAAATGTGTCATATATAAAACATAACACAATAACTTCAAACAACTGTTTGTTTTCCTTTAACTTTACAAGATGACACCTCAATCTAAGGCCTCATGATGAGAAAAGCTCAGGCTGAGATACCCTGAAGGCTACATTCCTCCCTCTGGTCCTTCCTCTGCCCCAACCCAGCCAGCAGGCAGATTCTGCATTTACCTGGATTAACTCTGAAGCAACATTAAGCCGGACTGCAAGAGGCAGCTGTTGAAGGGCTCGAACCAGTGACTCACTGTCCACGTAGAGCGCTGAATTCTAGAGGGGTTTTTTAAAAGAGAGATGATAAAAATACCTGTAAAAAGCTATTTATTGAAGTTACTTCTGTCTGGGAGTCCAATCACAAATCAATGAGCTTTAATGTCTCTCTACCAAACAGGAGTCCACAGTTCGCTCTCTGAGACACAGTTAGGACAGTAATCACCATCACATTGAGAGAACACTCTAACCTTCAAATTAGAAGAACTAGCATTTGTATGTCATCTGGCCAGAAATGTCCCCTACACTCAGACTGCAGCATTCTAGGCAGAAGAAGAGAAGAGCTGATTAGGTGGGAACATGGAGTTGCCATGTGTCCCCAAAGACGCTAGTGGGTAAGCTCTGCTTCTCTTCAAATCAGAAAACAGCAACTTCCTCTCTCCAGCCAGCTGCACTAAGTATGGAGGTAGCACTAAAAACTGCATCCATTAATTCTTAACAATAATGTCAATGACAATAATTGAAATACAAACGTAGATAGGGGATATCTCAAAAGTCCTACCCCCTAGATAAAGAACTACAAGCAATCAATGGCTGCTGAGAGGAAGACTCAGTCTTTTCCATACCCCAGCAGGTTATCTGATCCCATATGCTCAGCTAACTATACACGCATAGAAGCAACACAAAATGGACTCAGTAGGGGGGGGGGGGGGGAGAGAGGGAAAGAGAGAGAGAGAGTAAAACAGTAACATTAAAAGGTTATAATTTGAGAGGGGGTGAAGGTAAAGGAGGAGTTGGAGGAATAGAAAAATAATATAGATATATAGTATTCATGTATAAAGTTCTCATATCAACTTCTGACAGACATACACACACAGGGCGGGGGGAGTGAGGGGATTGAGAAAGAGAGAAGAGAGAGGCATGCACTTGCATCCTACCATAAAAGAATGTGAGGAAAACTAAGTATATAATGGCACAGGCCTATAATCTCAACATTTGTAGACAGACATAGGAGGGCCATGAGTTCAAGGTTAGACTGGGAAACAGTGAAATCCTTTCTCACAGATCCCTGAGGTGGGAATTTGGCACCTAATCCACTATACCTATTTTTATTTTGTACATTTACCCTACACTAATTGAAAGGTAATAAATGTACAAGGTTAAAGAAGGAATGTGAGGGAAAAGTTGGAAAAAAGAAAAAAAAAGAAAAACAAATAGCAAAGTAATCTATTGTGTTAAAATCATAACCATTAACTTTTTCCTAAAGTTGTGAGTAATTCAATATACGAGAAATTATCAGATGCCAAATAAACTCGACCTTGAAGGACCTTATCAACTAGTTCCCTGTATATTTTCTCTCCAGGGCAAGCAGCTGAGAATAATATGCATATGGATTACAGCTAGTTTCCACAAACCATGACTTCCTTGGCCTTGAGAAGAGCTAACCTACATTCAAGACACACTTGTCTTACCTGTTTTGGACATGAAGTTTCACCATCCCATTCTTTCTCCTCAGCAAACCTGAACTGTGAAAAGGAGTCCCCTAGAAATAGGAAAAAAAATATATATATATATATATACATGTATATATACACATACATATATATCACAGATATCTATACACACACATATTTACACACACACACATATATGTATATATATAATTTTATACAGAAAACAGTCTAATTTTCCATTTTAGGGCACAAGTGACATTCTGAGTAGCTAAACCTTCCCAAATACAGTGATGCCATCTACAGTCCTGGATCTAGTGCATACACTTGGGCACTGGAATATGCTGTTGGCAGCCATACTTATTTCATTAAGTTTTCACTCAATAAACCACCATCCCACACGTTAAGGATCAAGGAAACAGGCGTGCAAACATGGTCATTTACCCATATCTAGTCTATTTCCATCTCTTCTGCTCAGTGTATTCAAAGACGCTTATATTTATATATAGGGGCCAACAAGACAGAAAAGGGAGGATGAGACTAAGGAAGCATCTCTGGATGACCCACCATCTATCACAACTCGTTGATATGTTATCAATCGCCATTATCACTCCAATCTTCACCTAGTCTGAATGCAAACACAAAGCAAACTCAAAGATCACTGTGCAAACCAGTGTACTTCTCTGAGCTCTTGAGGTAAGTGAGCAAGGATGGGACGTATGATGGCAACATAAGCAAGCATGGAAAATGATCATGGGCAGCAAGCTCTATGCTCTGCCATGAGGCTTGCTTTGTGCATAGACACACACTGGAAAATTTGCATAGCAATGAATTTACACATGAAGAATTCTCTCCCTAGCTTTCACAGCGATGTAAACTTTGGCCCTACTTCACTTACTTTCTATCTCCCGAGCCAGCCTGTTTTATATCTTGTCTATATACTTCAATGCTCTCTCATCTCCTCACCCTGAAGACCCAAGTGCTCTCCCTCTCCATCTCCTACCTGGATTTTAAACTCAGCACAGACTCGATTCTTCCCTGTGTGCTACCTGCCCAGTGATATAACCACAGAATTTATTCTTTTCTTTCACTTAAGGGAGTTAGGGGGAAAGGAAGTCAAAAAGGGAAAGACAGACTAAATTAACATAATGTAAAATCAAATGCAAGAGAAGGACCAAAGGCAGGGGAAAAAAATCAATACTTTTCATTGTTAGCAAGCCAATTTGATACTTCAAAATTCTGAAAATGAAGTTTTACTGTCCATCTGTATATGCTTCTACTGTGATTCCCGTGCTTACCATGTAAATGCCTATACAACATCAGTTTTACTCACATTACTTTTTATCAGAAGAAATGAAACTGAGGAGTTAGAATAAGCTAAAACAAATCTACCCAGATTGGAGAATTCTCAGAGAATAAGTGGAAGTCTTAAAATACCTTCATTACTAAATAAAGAACAAATGCAATTGTTTTACAAAGTTAGGGGGGCAGGGAATGTAAAACAGAGAGGAGTAGGAAAGAACCAACTTTCTGTTCTTTTGACAGTGAAGGGGCTGAACCCAATGCTTTGTGTGTACTAGGCAAGTACTTTACCAGAAAGCTATATCCTTAAGCTACTTTTTTTTTCTTAAAAAAATATGTGCTTCAAACAATCTTATAAAAGTGATATATACCTTTAATCCTAGCACTTGGGACACAGAGGCAAGTGGACTCTGAGTTCCAGACCAACCTGGTGCACATAGCAAGTCCTAGGCCAGCCAGGGACCCACCATGAAATTCAGTCTCAAAAGACGAGGAGGAGGAAGAAGAGGAGGAAGAAGAGGAAGAGGAGGAGGAGGAGGAACTACTGTGTAGACAGATCAAGATGGCTTCAAACTCAGAGATCCACCTGCCTCTGTCTCCCATGTGCTGGAATTAAAGGTATGCACCACCACATCTGTCCTAAGAATGTCTTTTCAAAGGGTGAAGAATTTGTCTACCTGAGTTAAATGAACAAAATAGAGAGCTACTCTTAAAATAGGAGAGAACCAATCTAGGTGTGTGGACATTCAGACATCAGAAGAACATGATTATCTGTGCAAAATCAGTCTTTTCTGGTTAAAACAGCAGGTTGTTTAAGGGTTAAAACTACTCTATAGCAAATTAAGACTATATCCCTACATCTCAATTCTGATACTCAAAACACACTTTGTATGGATCAAAGATGTTGACATTTGGGAAAGGCAGAAGAACAACAAATAAGGCTCAACTTTTTATTATTCAGAAGCTAAAGGGGTATAAACTAAACTTCATAAAGATTAACATATAAAAATTATTTTAAGTCTTCTATGATAACCAAAACCAATCTCATAGATGGCACAATAACAATAAGCACTTGCAGCACAGACAAAGAGCTATATATGTATACATACATGTGTGTGTGTGTTATATGTGTGTATAGATATCTGTGATATGTATGTATGTATGTATGTATGTATGTATGTATGTATGTATGTATGTATATTTTTTTCCTATTTCTAGGGGACTCCTTTTCAAAGTTCAGATTTGCTGAGGAGAAAGAATGGGATGGTGAAACTTCATGTCCAAAACAGGTAAGATAAGTGTGTCTTGAATCTAGGTTAGCTCTTCTCAAGGCCAAGGCCCCGCACCTTTCTGATGCTGCAGAGATGAAGTCATGGTTTGTGGAAACTAGCTGTAATCCTGTTTCTAACATATAAACAGCTTCTCCAAGCCTCTCTGAATATAGCAACCAAAGAGAAAAGTAGGACAAGAGAACTCCATATGAAGAAAGATGGCCTCTAACATATATAATAATTAAAAATCAGTCTTGGAGGATTTTAAAAATTAGCCAGCAGCTTACTGCTTTATTAAATGTTGTTTTAGCCATGATTGTGTGGGGAGGATACGTGAGTGTTTATGGGTGCACATGTGTGCACATAAGTGGAAGCCACAGGTGTCATTCCTCAGGCCGCCCACCTTTCTATTTAGACTAGCTTTCTCACTGACCTGGAAATCTCCGAGCAGCATAGGCTGGCTGGCCAGTGAGGCTGACGGATCCACCCATCGCAGCACTAAGATTGCATGTATGTATCGCTACACCCAGCATTTTCTTTTTAAGTGGTTTCTGGGAATCAAACTCAGGTTCTCATGCTTGAAGCACTTTGCTGACTAAGCCATCTCCACAGCCCCCATTATGTCATTCTTGAACACATACAGATGCGCACACAAGGACATGTATGTGTGTATATGTGTTTGTGTGTGTATTCATAATACCTCATAGATTATAATTAGGATAAGGCTCAATAATAAGGCATGATGTACTTATTTTTAATATTTCAAAAATTTTAAATACCAACAAGAGTTTAATAATGATTGACTAACTTGTTGTAAATCAATCTTTCTTCCAAGAACTAGAAGAATGGCCCTCCCCCTTAGACAAATCCCACCTGAAGAAACCAGAGCACACAACTGAACCTTCCCTAGAGAAGAGAAGTGCACAGGGGTTAAGTTGCCTTCTGGGACTGCTCTCTGCTCTGAATACTCGCCAGTTCTGTAAGGGATCATGGAGGTTGCAAGCAACAGCCCATGAACCAGGTGGTGTGAAGCTGGTGGAGTGTCTCCTAATCTTCCACATGGGTGGGCACAAACTGGAGTTTAGAGCCACGGAGGGACAAGAGTTGAAAAGTCACGGTTTTCAGGTAGGGACCAGGTCTTGCGTTTGAGAAACAGGACAGAGCTAACACTGGCACACTGCCCATTGTGAGTGAGCTCAGGCTTGTAGGCAAAAGCAGAAGGAAAACCTGGGCAGGGAGTCTGAGTGGAGCAACAGCCCACAGCTACTTACAGTTTATTTAATACACACTGTCTGTTAAAGAGAATGAAAAACACAAGACACAGTAGAAAAAGACCCAGAGATTGACATACTGGTGATGTTTTATAATCCATGTCAAACTTCATAGACAGAAATAGCTAAAATTAAAAAGCAATGACACTCAGGAAGTCCTTTCTGATCCACAGAAAAATCAAGCATGCATAAAGAAATGAAAATTTTACGGAAGAATGAGATATCTAAAACATACCGCTTTCAGTAAATATCACAGTGATACAGTTAGAGACCTCTCAGGGATAGCAGCCTTGATCAGTGCTGGGAAAAGCACTTTGCTGTGCAGGCCTGACCTGAGCTCGGTTCTCACATGCGCTGGAACATACACATGTTCCCCCTCCCCTCTCCCTCTCTGCACCCCTCCTGGCCATAAACACACTCACTCACTCACTCTCTCACACACATAATCAACAAGAATTAAATTTAAATAGTCCTCATTGATAAAGCACAGAGGCTAATTGCAAAGAACACACTTGCTAAAAGAGGAGCAGTAGTACATATCAACAGCTAACCCTCATTCTCACACTGAAGATGAAAGAATATTAGCATTTCTAAACTGTGAGCCCCAGAATACAAATTCTTCTTTAAAAAAAAAAACTTGATTAAAATTATTTCTTTTAAATCATACTGTGACATACATAGAAAGAATGGTGTTATCACCAGTGTGTTCCTTTCTTATACATCAGACATGAGGCTGTGGACAACCAGGACCCTTCTTTAAGTAACACTGTACAGCAGGTCCACAGTATGCTCAACTCTACTCCAGCACAAAGGGAATGCACCAATAACATGCTTCATGACTTACAAGACACTATAGTGAAGCCTTACTGGACACTCATACAACATCCTGAAGCAAAATGGAAGACTGAGGCTGTTCTGTAGGCTGAGAACAATGCCCCAAGTCCCACTCTGCAGATAAGAATACCAGCATGGCAGGCCAACTAAAGCCAAACATGCTTTCTAATAGCAAGATCTACAGAGTCTGCTAAAGCAGCAGCAGGACGAGTGATAGACATGGTACAAAGAGAGGCTCCACATTCCTTTTCTATAAAAGGCTTAGGTGGCAGTGGTGCTGTACCCATACTGTCAGAGCAAGGCTGAGGACGGAGGATTTTGTGTTCAGTGCTAGCCCCACTTAAAAGCTGCAGATCATTCTGCTCTGGCAACAGTTTATGTATAAACAATAAAAGCTGAGATGTGAGACTGAAATTTTTATTATATTTTGAAAGTCCTTGCTCTATTGCCAACTCTGGTTATCTTCCATTGCCAAATTAAAAAGGTTTTCTCAAAATCAAGTAATTGTGCAAAGAATCAAGTATTAGATTATTACAGGTGCAGGGGCAACAACTTTAAGGATGCTTCCAAAAATATTGAAAAAGAGGCCAAGGAGATGGCTCAGTAGATAAAAGAGCTTGTATATTAACAAGGACAGGAATTCAGGTATACCTGAAACTACCTAAAAAACCATGGCCAGCTATGCATGCTTGCAACCCCAGCGCTGAATGCATAGGGATTAGCAATCATTTGGGCTTGCTGGCAAGACAGCTGTGTGAAAACACAGTCAACTCCAGGTCCTGTGAGCAACCTGGTTTCACGGAAATAGGGCACGAAGTGATGAAACAGGACACTCCTCTCTGCACATTCCCCACACACACACCATATCACATACACACACACACCACAAAACACACACACCACCACACACACATACATACCACACACAAAAATGAACACACTGAATAAATAAATCAAAGAGTATTTTAAGCAGTGTACACGCTTTGATTTCTGAGGTTCCCTGGGTAAAACTGATCACCATCAAATAAATCTCGAGCTCCAGGTGATGATGAGAAGAAAAGCCTTTACCCACTCTCTATTTGAGAAGATGAAAGCTTAACTATGGGATAGCAGTCAAGCCACCCGTGCTCTATCCTGGCCTCACAGCATCTTGTTCTTCTGCCCACCTCGCATGGAGGCTGGTGCCTAGTCAAGATGAGAAGCCTGTTTGCAATGCTCCTGTGACCACAGGCATAATCTCACAGCTGTCAATAGTAGGAAGCAACAGGCAAGCAGAGTGCTTGCATAGTGCCTACATGGTACCAGGACAAGACTCAGGAATAGAAACCAGTATTTCAGCTAGGCTTATATTGTGTTTGATTATTTGTAAAACAGATATATAACATTCTATGAAAGCCTTTTAAAATTAGGGTAACCTACTAGTACTGAGACTGAAAGATAACTATTGTCTCAATTATACAAAAATCAACTTGCAGAATATGAAGATGATATATATGATTATCATATCTAACAAAATTACCCATGACAACTATATGCCTATTTTAAGATCAATTTTCTCTTAGGGTAGTGGGATTAAAGAAAAATTTCATCTCCACACATATTTTTCCAGTTGAATTTTCCTTTGTCAACAATATGCTATTTTTGGCTGAGGACCAAACAGAACTAAAGATTAAATATTCTTGAGGGCAGGTGCTAAGATCTGTCAGCCCAGAATTTATTATTGTATCAATCATTTATCCTCTTATTAACTAATAAAGCTCTCTCCACTTTTGCTAGAATTCTCTGAGTTCCACAGAGAGAAAATAACCCCTCAATAAAAATTGTATATCTGGTATCCCAATATTTGACATGTTGATGGCATTTGGAGGCATGAAAACCTATACTAAGAAATAAACAGAACTTTGTTTTAGAAATCACCACCAGGCTTCTGAAATAATGCCTAGAGTGTTTTCAAATATATGAGCTTTTATAGAATCTATATATTCCCACAATGACAGTGTTGGTGAAATTAAAGAGGCCCACACAACCCAATCACTGCATTTATGTCCAGGGCTCTGTTCTCATTCTGCTTAACTCCCCAAAATCGGACAACAGGTGTCATGTAGCCCTAAGCAAAATGAATAATATGCTCGTTAGAATCCCACAGAACCAGGACGTTTTCAAAAGTCTGTCACATTGTCACAGATAACATTGTTTTGATTTTAAGTTTTCCTTTCAGTCCCATTAACAAAACAAACAAAGGCACTTAACACAATCAGAAAGCCTGGACATTCAGGTCAAACTGAACACAGAAGGAAATCTAAAACCCATGCCTTTGGACAGCATAGGCTGGGTGCACATGAACTTAGATGGTGAAAGTGGAAATCTGTTCAAGCTTCACATCCCATTCCTATCATATGCTCATGCAATTTCTACAAATGGCATCCTTCTAGCTACTATGATTTTTTTTGTTTGTTTAACTTTGGAATTACCATACCCGTTGGGGGTTGGTCAGGTGCTGTGTATACAAATGCTAAATTTTGAGCCCCAAGATCTATTTACAGTCCCATGAGGACATTCTCACATATAACAAATGATGTTGTATAAACTTTGCTTGCCAGTCTTCTCTGCATGGTTAAATGCATGTGGCTACAGTCAATTACTAGGGAGAACAGAAGTAGGTGGGGCTTCAGTTACTAAGCTGGGAGTTTCAGAGTGGGTGGGGAAGAAGGAAGACTGAGAGAGGAGGAAGCCACCCTGCAGAGATGGACCCTGAGCATGTGGCCAGGAGAAGTGCATCCTTAGGATAAGCTGATGGAACAAAGGTAGCCTGGTCAAGACTCAAACAACAAGTACCTTGGGGAGTGCCAGTCTACCAGGTAGAAAAATAGAATAGAAATAATCACCCAGTAATGGTGCTAACCTGATTTTTAAAAATCAATAGGACTCAGTCTCAATTACTGGGGGGAGGTAGTGTTAGCCGGGTCATATTAAGCATTAATAGAGTTATTAGATACCACTTACAACCACACATACCCAGCTACTGACTTGACCCATATCCTATGTTTCACTAGTTCTGGACAAGCATTTCCCTGGAAGCTCCATCCCTGCCCACTTGTTATAGCCATCCCTTACCCTCAACCAGGATCCAGAGTCTAATTACACATGAACACAAAGGTCCCATAGGGAACAGGAGGTCAAATGATCTCCACAATGGTTGTCATGGAGATGGAAGGCCCTAGTTCTTCTCTCTGAAGGTTCCTTATCTGTGAAACATTGCAATATTTGGAAAAACCAGAGTAAATCTTAAGTCCACAAACTCACACACATGAATCCAGGAAAGAGCCGAGCACAGACTATAAGGCATAAAAATTCTTATCACTTTCAATTTTTAGCATTTTCAGATT